CTTGAATTCTGGCTTTAGTGCAGTAAGATTCTAGCATACATTCTTCTGCCTCGTCCAAAGTTTCGTTTCCTATTCGTATTCTATTTGTTATCTGTTCAAGTTTGAACTACCAAAATGATGCGAGTACTTACCATTGGGAAACAAGCAGGAGGAATATTTCATTCGAGCGCCCAAACTCAATTGCATAAATTTTGTGGTGACCTTTTTTTTTGAAAGAAAAAAAATGGAATTTCATTTACCATTTTTTATTAACTTCCTTTGATAATTTATGTGTTGTAGACTCAATAATGCTTTAAAAGAAAAAATTGCATTTATGTAATATCACCTCATAATGTTGTTCGTTAGCTTTATCAGTGTGTTCGGCAATTGGACGCTCTTTTAACTGCTTAACATATGACATCTTTCGTTGTTGATTCTTTTGTAAATCACTAGTTTTAATCTCTCTCAAACGGTCATCCAACAAGAATCTTATACCACGACGCAGAATAAAATCCGGAATTAGGCCCCGATCGAGTAACGATTCATACCATATTGAATTAGAAGAGCTCTTTCCCACTGCGGTAGTAGACATCTTTTAGTCAATCGCGAATTTCAAGAACGATTCAAATTCTCAAGCCACATATATATATTTTTTATTATTTATTTATATTAGTATTAGCGAATACCCTTCATGTAGGGGAAATTTGATCTTGATTAGTAGTTAGTAGAAACCGGACAAACCGAGCTGTACTGCAGGTTTTTACCCCTCAATTAATTATCAGTTTCAAAATTAAAGTATATCGTATATCACTTTTTATAGCGAGCGCAAATAATTACTGTCTATGGTTCTTGAATTTTCGGTAGTAATAACTGGTATGACACAAAACAATGACTATCTCCAGCATTCAATGAAATTTAATTTTAAAGCTTCATTCACGAGATAAATGAGATAAAAAAAATTTTTTTGATTTTTTTTTTTTTTTCTAATAATCCTAAAACATTTACACAAATGCAATAATATGCTGTATATTAAAGTTTTAAATAAAACAAAAGCATAACTACTGTATTAATAAAAAAACCTTTGTTGAAACAATTTTTTATTGACATTCTAGTTTATTTGAAATATAAATAAAATTTTTTATCAAAGTAATATTAAAAAATAATAAATTGTATATAAAATAAGTAAATAGATATGCAATATATAGTAAAGTAATATAAATATTACTATTATTATTTTAAATTAGCTTGGCCTTTTCTAATAAACTTTATTAGTATTATTAATATTCATGTATATTTATATTCCTATAAATCAATACTATAATATTAATTCATATATTAAATTGCATTTGTATTATCTAATATTAATTTGTTATTATCAATTTGTTCCAATATATAAAATTGGAATTAATATATTAAGATACTATTAATACTTAAAAAAAAAAAATTTCATTATTGAATTTTATATAGTTTTAAATATAATTTTTTATTAATATATACAATATATTGAACTATTTGATTTTTTTTTTTATCACAGAAAAGTATTAAATATAAAATTTTTATTAAGACAAAACTTATAACTATTATATTAAGTATCTTTATCTTTAAATATAAAATAAGTTTATACTAGCCTATTGTATTTATTTAATATAATTATATATTATATCAAGTAAGTAATACAAAACTAAAAGTGACTTATGAATAGCTAATGCTAATTTTTTTTTTCCATAATCAAATAAGTATTTATTGTGTTTATTTAATCTTATGAAAGAAGACATAATTGTTTATATATAGATATTTATGTATAAACTAATTACTTATATTTGAATATCTGTTTTAGACTATTAATCTCTAGATATAATTTTGGAGATGAATAAAGTTGCTTCCTTTCATTTTCTGTTTCTAGGAAAATTCAAATTCACTGCTTGCAATTCATCACTACAATTTATCTTAGCAACATCTTGATTACATTATATTTCTAACCATTTTTTTCCTTCCTTGATTTTGTTTTATACACCTTTGTGATTCTTGGTATATAATTTAAACTGGTTTTTGTTGGAAAAGATATTTCCTGTTTGGATTCTAATGAATCTTGGTGAGTCTTCTTCCCTCTTCTTTTTGGATCTTGAGAATGGTCCAGGCCTTGGTTGGAAGAGAAACTGGCCTTGTCCTTACCTTTTTCTAAGAAGCACTTTTTGTGTTCTTGTATCTTTTCATATTTTGGATTCCATATCAATTGTCTTATTCTTTTATATCAAAAGTCTGAGATCTTGTTGAGGATTCTTCTGGTTGAAGTTTTGGGGATCTTCATGGATCGAAATAAATTAGTCCATTCTTTTAAATCTTCTTTTGCCCAGAGGTCAATAACTATATTAATCAGTTTCTTGGCCAAATCAAATTTTTCATCTTCCTATCTATTTACAAGTTCGATTATTGCTATAAAATTTGTATTATCTTTTTTATTCACATGTTGGAGAATTCATATCTTGACAAGCTTGTTTTGATCTGACTTCATATATCCTTTTTAATTTTCTATATCTCTTTACATATTAGAAGATAATCTAAAGTTTCTTCCTGAAGTTGATAGAATATACACAAGCTATTGAATGTTTCTAAGGCTCTCCTCTTAATTAAGATATCCATGGTTGAAAAGTTATTATGAATAATTTTGGCCTTGAATGTTCTACTTCTTGCTATTTTTATAGATGTTATTAAGGACCCTTCCCTTTGCTAAGATCCCATAATTCTTTCCAATCGAATTTCTTAGAGTTTTGAATTTCTTCTTTTCATTTTTGTTGTATTTGATTTTGTGATATCCATTGTATTAGTACTTCTCTTTCATTATAGTCCTTCAGAAATGCTCTGGTTGAAATATCAATAGGAATCCTATTTCATTCTGGCACTGTGATTGGGATTGCTATTTATAAAGGTTTCTATTGAATTTCTGGTTTCTCTTTAGTCATTTTTGCCAGTTGGTCTACCTGATTGTTGAAAGCATCTTTACTATGGGTTTTGATTTTCATGAGTTTAAGATGCAAATTCTTTTTGTTGACTATACTGATCAATCTGGATCAAAGCTATCAATTTGACTTCTTCATTCATCTCTTTAGTATATTTTTGAGGTGTTGCTTGCTTATAATTGAGTATGTGTCTATACAGGAGGAGCTATTTGTTTTTATTTCAACTATATTATCATTTGGAACTAAAAAGATTGCCAAGAGGATTGCTATCAATTCTGCTCTAATTGATGAGAGCCAATTGTCTACTGCTGCTTGAAATGATCTTCTTGGATTTGGATCTTCTATTTGAATCCATGCTGTACCAATTCTTAAAAACTGGTCTTATATCTGTTCTAGTGAACCATCTGTATAGAATTGATATATACCCATATATTTTTTGTTTACATTTAGGTAATATTTCTTATATAGTAGTATATAAAGATCCCCTGCTACTATGTTCTCATATATGATCTGTTTTCTATAGTTTTCAATTTCAATAGAATAAAATTTAGATATAGATATATTCTGAAAGTATATCTTTTCTATTATAGTTTTGGCCAGATTTTTTAATATATGAACTTCTATTGAAATAATTGGCTTTTTATTTTGCCAATGTTTTTTGATATTGTTAATTCATGTAAATGTGGGTATATGGTTTTTCTCTATGTTTCTATGCTCTGGGGGTGTCTTTGTAAATTCGGTTGTTTCTGGAAGAGTGTTAGCACTGATTTGATAATGTTCGGTCGTACTATTGGTAGCTGTTAGTGTTTCTTTGCTCCTGGTTCAGTAAAGTTCTTTGTTGGTATTATTCATACTCATTTGCCAACTCCATCTTCTTAAATCTATTGATTTTTCTGATGTAAAGAGTGATCTGTCTTGCTTTACCCAATTGTATCTTATTCAATTTGTCTTCAGTACCCCAAATTCATTTGCCAATATTTGTTTTACTAAAAGATACCATTTGGGGATTGGTTTCTGCCCTTGGCTTTGGAGTTTCTAAATCAATTTCCAATTCAAAAGATTACTTGATTCTTTATCTATAAGCTGGTCTACAAATATGATGTTATGTTTTTTCAAATTAGATACTGTTTTGTTAAAGTTTTGATTGTAATATGTTCTTTTTTCCATTGGAATATATTTCTTCAATATGAATCTGAGAAGGTAATCCCCAGCTTGTTGGCTATTTTGATTATTTAGGCTAAAAAATTCTTCTTATATGTATTGTATGATATGTCTTCAGATAACATGTTTGCCAACTTCCAGTGTTTTACTTGTGCTTGCTTCAGACATATTAGAGTAGATATATTGGGGTGATTCATGTTGTTAAAGCAATTTATAAAATTAGTGATTTGGCTTTATATTTGAATTTCCTGGATATTTTTAATTTTGTAGAATGTTTTGTAATATATGATTGAGTTTGGCATTGTCTTTGTAATCTTGGCTATTTGTTTGAGTATTTTTCTGAGCTGTGCTAAGAAAATATTGGCTGTATGAATACTTATTGAACTGTGTTGTATCCTGTATTCAATTCTAGAAATAAGAATCCTATTAATTATATATTTAGTATGTTTGTTTATAATTAGCTTTTTTCCCAGGTTTGGAAATACCACTTGAATTTCTTGACAGATTCTATTAACTGTATCTTTGGTCTAATCTTTGTTGTCTAACCATATGCCCAGGAATCTCAAATGATATTTGCGATCTAGTTCTTTGATTTCTTCTTGATTGACTCCAATCTAAACTTTGTTGGACTCCTTATTTGGACTATTGATCGTAATCAGTACTAATTTGTTTTTGTTGATTTGGAAATCATTAGTTGCATAGAATTTCTTTTGTTCTTTCTAAGATATACTTCATATCTGCCTGAAACCTGACTATCCATATGATATCATTCATATATACTATTGCAGCTTGTTTTATTGATAATCTTTTAAAAGCATTGGGATTACTTATTGCTTTACTAAAGTTTACTGTCCATGTACAGCTCAATGTGTAATCCAAATTCAGATTTTCTTGGATCTTATAAAGGAGAGGATCATAGAAAATTCTTCACAGGAAAGATGATAATGTTTCTTCTTGGTCAATTCCATCACCTGTTAGTACCTCTTTGGTAAGACTCATATTTGTAATTATCTTGATTGACCTTTGTATAAAGGAATTCAGTAAGAGTTTGATGGTTTTGCTTGACACTTTGATTCTTTGGAGCACTTTTTTCAGCATTTCTAGACTTATTGTATCATATGCTTTTGCTGTATCTTGGAAGAGAATCCAAAGTTCCTTTCCTTCCTCACAGGCTTCTTTGAGGATGTTATTAAGCAAGTGTATATGTTCTAATATAATTTCTCCTGGAAGCTCTACAAAATTGGATCCTTTGAATATCTTGTATTTCTTACAGATAAGTGTCAAGTGGTTGTTGAGAATTTTGATAAAGTATTTATGTATTGTTTCAAGGAGAATTATTGGTCTGGTATTGTTGAGTTCTCTTTGCCATTCCTTACTCTTGAAAATTGGATACAAAAAGTTGCTTTTCCAAGTTGTTGATATAATTCCAGAGTTAAGGAACAGGTTGAAGAGATCAAGGAAGATCTTTTTTGCTATAGGACCTAGCTTTTTGAGCATCTCATATTTTATTTTGAATGGTCCTACTGTTTTATTGTCGGGTAGGTCAGAAAGAACTTCTTCCAATTCCTTTGACTAGATCTCTTCCTCTATATTGTTGTATCATTTCTCTTGTATCTTAGCTAGGGCTCCTAATGGTACTACTTCGATATCTGTTTGATACCAGTTCGATACTTAAATTTACTATAAATTTATATAAGTAAGTCACAACCCATATATTAAATTTACTATAGATCAGTATTATTTTGATACCACTTCGGTACCAGTTTGGTACTTTTCGGAGCTCTAATCTTAGCTTTGGGCTTGTACTGTTTTTTCCATTGACTGTCAAGGAGGTTAAAATTGTTGTTACATTTACAGAAGGCCTGCTAATAATAAAGTTCTGTTTGGTAACTCTTTCCGCTGATCCCTTTGCCAATCCAAAAAACAGACGTTCTCAAAAATATTTCTTTATTTTTGATAATAAAATCTATACACTCTCTTTAAAAACAT